ACCACGCCCTGCTGATTTTTTGATTTATTGTAGAGATGAGGTCTCGCTGCCCCGGCGGGTCTCGAACCGGCGGGCTCAGGCAATCCACTTACCTCAGTTTCCCAAAGGCGCGGGATTACAGGCTGAGCCATTGAGCTCCGCTCTGGCCTGAGATTTTTAATCTGACTTGTTTTCATCAATGGCCCAAAGCACCACCTTCCCCCCCTGGTGGCAGCTAGTAGAATTGCAGGCATAGTGCCTGATAGTAACCAGCCTAGCTGATCATACCAGGGTTAGCACAGACCCAGGGCAACTTGGTGATTGACCTTCCCTCCCCTCTCTGCTGTGAGGCCAGGACTGCCTCAGTGCTGTTCCGTAGAAAGCTTCATGACACTCACAAGCCAGAGCTGTTTTCTGTATTTTCTCCATCTTCATTCTTATGCCCCATACCTGGCAGGCGCTCAGCAGAATATTTATGATTCTTTATGGTGAACATCAGAGATGAGGAAGGGAGGGGACACAGTACGGTGGAAAGAGTCCTAGGCTGGGACTTAGGAGACCTGGGTTCTTTGTTTTCATCTAGCTGGTTTGCCTCTCCTCTTGGGTCCTCCGTCTTCTGATTTATAAAGTAGTTAGAATAAACCACCAAGATTCCAACAACATGACTGATTCAGGCTTAGTGGGATGGCCTTAAAGGCAGTATGGGTCTAGTTTACAATAGTCCTTTCTATTCCCTCCTGTCTGACACTGGCCTACCTTATGCAGGTTGCACATCTGGCTCCTTTAGGCTGTTGAATTTGTGATTCTTTTCAATTTCAAATCTCAGAAAGTGCCTGAGATTTGTTGTGACAGTCATTTGACCTGTGTTCAGATTTGAAGCCCAAATGGTGTCTGTTTGTCATCATCACCACCCTTGGGGATACTAAGCATCTGTGTTCAGTGTGTGGTGCCAACTGCAGGGAGCAGAGTATAGATCTCTTTCTTGTCCCAAGTTGCCCACAGGCCAATGAAGAAACAAATATACATATATATTATTTAATATTTGGGTTTTTTGAGCTGGGGTCTTACTCTATTGCCCAAGCTGGAGTGTGGTGGAACAATCAGGGCTCACACAGCCTCAACCTCCTATGCCATGCAATCCTTCTACCTCAGCCTCCTGAGTAGCTGGGATTACAGGTGTGTGCCACCATGCCCAGCTAATTTCTTGATTTTCATTTTTGCAGAGATGAGGTCTCACTATGTTACTCAGGCTGGTCAAACTCCTGGGGTCAAGCAATCCTCCTGTCTTGGCCTCCCAGTATGCTAGGGTTACAGGTGTGAGCCACCAAGCCTGGAATATATACATATGCTTTTGTTTATTTTTGAGTTGGAGTTCTCACTGTTGCCCAGGCTGGAATGCAATGGTTTGATCATGGCTCACTGCAGCCTTGAACTCTTGGGCTCAGGCAGTCCTTCCACCTCAGCCTCCTGAGTTGCTGGGATTACAGGTGTGCACCACCATACTTGGCTAATTTTTTTTTATTTTTTACTTTGTAGAGATGAGGTCTTGGGATGTTGTCTAGGCTAATCTCAAATTCCTGGGCCCAAGTAATGCTACCACTTTAGCCTCCTAAGTACTGGGATTATAGGTGTGAGCCACCACACCCAGCCTTATATATGTTATCGTTAAAAACTCATAAATAACCCAAGTGACTTGTACTAAGTCATTAAGTGCTGCTGAAACTCAGAGGGAGGAGAGAACATTGAGGCAATCAGGGAAGACTTCCAGGAGGTGGAGAGATGAAAATTCTACTCATTCCTTGAAGATGAGTTCTACTGAATTTTTTGTTCAGTCACATAGGTATTAAACTAGGATACTGGTGTTCTATCTGCATGTGTATTGCTTTATCCTCTCAGTACCATTTGTTGAGTGTTTATATATTTTGGGGGTTCTGAGCCAGGCAGGTTTATATATTTTATTTTGTTCAATCCTCGTATTATCCTAGCAAGGCGGGTGTTATTAGATCTCCTACTCAGATGAAGAAATGGGCTCAGAAACGCTCCCAAGTCTTCTCAGCTAATAAATGGTAGAGTAGGGCATTCAGCCTGTCTCCAGAAGACAGTCTTTTCCCACTACACCATGCGCCTCAAACCTCCAGGGTCAGCCTCCTTGGTGAAATGCACACACATACGAAATGCACACCCTAAGCAGATGGGTGGGCCTGGCTTGCCCCAATTGTCCTGTTGAGCATGTGGGAACTTGTTTTGGTGTCTGTTAGCAGCTCTGAGCACTGTCTTCACACCCTTTCTCTCTGCTCTTTGGTCCTCAGAGCATGTTCATTGGAATTCCTTGGGAAGCTGGGATCAGGGTCTCGTGGCCAAGAAGGGCACTGGTCTTGGCTTCAAGTTCATGCCTCTCTCTGAGTGGTGCAGCTGTAGGTGATATGGGCAATGGCTGTAAAGAAGTGAGTCCTGGACATGGAGCTGGGCTGACCCAAATATTGCCCCTTACTCACTTTGACCTTGGCTGGGTCTCCTAGCCCCTCTCTATGCCCTAGTTTCCTTCCCTGGAATAAACAGGGAGCTGGGGACAGTTCTAAGTCTTTATGCCTCGATGCCTTGTCATTTTGTCTTCCGCACCCTTCTTTCTGCCTCTTCTTCCCTGGAGATCTGATTTCCCTTCTCTCATTTCCATCCCCCCCGCCCCTCTTCTTGCAGACAAACTCCGTGTCAGCTGATAATCAGGTCTGTGGGCTCACTCTGTAACCTTCCCTCCAGATTGTCCCGTGGGAAGGGATTTCTTCTAGACCATCCACCTCTGGCCTGTGAGCTCTGGTTGTCTCCTGGGACTCTGCTTTGCCTTGGAGTCCCCACTTCCTGCCATGCACAAGGAGCCTGGATGGTGTGGGTGAGGTGAACCGGAGCTGGAGGAATTGTCCTGGGGGTGTGGACGGCTCAGAGGCTGTGGGATGGAGGGACAGGTGTCTGTCCCCTGCAGTTGGCCACACCCACCTCCTCCCCAATGCCCCGCCTGCCGAGGGAGTCATAGGCTGGCTCACACCTAAGTCTCCTCACGCCTGCCTCGAGCCTGCCTGGCCGCGGGTTCAGGCCTGGGCCTGGTGGCTGGTGAGGTCACGCCTGCAGATCCTTTCAGAAAATCAGTAGGGCCCGGCTGCCCTCACCCTCTGACAGGCAGATCAGCCCCTCCAAAGGCCAAGCTGGATGTGGCCTGGGCTCTGGGTCCCACAGGAGGAGGTGAGTGGCCCGGGAGCGGATGCAGGGGTGGGACCCTGGGTGGCAGGCGGGCGCTTCATGGCCCTGCATCTTCCCTAGGCACAGGCCCCTTTGTGAGCAGCAGCCCGGCCTGGGGGCTGGCAGCAGGACACCTGCGTCTGCATGCTGAAGAAGATGGGTGAGGCTGTGGCCAGAGTAGCGAGGAAGGTCAACGAGACGGTGGAGAGCGGCTCTGACACCCTGGGTGAGTGAGGGCTGGGCTTTCCCGACTGCCTGAAGTAGTTGTCAGGTCAGCTTAGCGATGACATAGAAAGAGATGAAAGAGAAAATCTTGGGGTGCACCCTGGTCATGAGGATGTGTTTTATGGAACTTCCATTGCAATGGTGTGTATTGCTGGTGTGTAGTTTTCATATGGGTCAAGGTCCAAGAGGTTTGAAAAACGTTGAGTGATGGGGCCTGTTCGCTTGCCCTTGGACATGTGTGTGCCCTTTAACTTGATCATTGCCTCTTCCAGGAAGCCCTCAGCCTTGTCCCCTTCCTCCCTTGCTCCCTTCCTCCTCTGTAGTACCCATTCAGCATCCCTAGAGGGCAGGGACATCGTGGATGATTGTCCCCTAGCCCTGCCCCCTACCCTACCTGCAAAGTCAGCTGATGACTGTGGCCCTCAGTGAAGGAATTCTGGAACCCTACCCCAGTTGGTAGTTCAAGACCCTCACCACTAAAACCGTGGTTGAGAGCTAGGCTTTGGGTCACATGGGCCTGGATTTGAAGCCCTACTCTGCCACTGACTCATCTGGCACCTTAGCGGAACCTCTCTGAGCCTCGGTTTCTTCATCTATAGCTTGGGCGTGGTAATTGTGTCTACCTCACCAGGATGGTTAGGAGAAATTGTAATGTCTGTCAGGTGCTTGGTATGTAGGGAGCTCAATAAATGGCAGCAACTATTTTAAAGTTTTATTCATTCCCGGAAGCAGGCAGTGGGGCATATGTCCTCCCCTGTGCAACCCACCTGCAGGTGTCAGCCAGCCAGGTTTTCCCTGGGCCTGCTTCTCACTGGCTTGCAATAGGGAGTTCAGTGCAAATTGACAGATCTCTGTGGTGAGTGGCCTGCCCTGCCTTAAAATGTTTCAGGGGATGGCCCGGTACAGTGGCTCACGCTTGTAACCCCAGCACGTGGGAGGTCGAGGTGAGTGGATTGCTTGAGCCCAGGTGTTCGAGACCAGCCTAGGCAACATAGCAAGACCTCGTCTCTACAAACAATCAGCTGGGCATAGTGGCACATGCCTGTAGTCTCAGCTACTCAGGAGGCTGAGGCAGAAAGTTGGCCTGAGCCCAGTAGGTCAAGGCTGCAGTAAGCCGTGATCATGCCGCTGCACTCCAGACTGGGCAACAGAGTAAGACTCCACCCCATTCCCCCAAAAAAATGAGCAAACATGTCACTGGGGAGAGGGACACATGCTGCTCCATCTCATTCCGATGTGAGGGTAGAGGGGCAGCAGGGGACAGCAAGCTGAATTCTTAGCAGGGGATTCTGGGGAGGTTTTCTGTAGGGGGTCCTGACTAAGAAAGGATGTTTCAGGAAGCAGCAGGGAGGAGACAGACACTCTAGGCAGCGACAGGGATGAATCTTTTGCTACTGCAGCATGGGAGAGGCGGTGAAGGATGGTGCCTTGCAGGGGAGGGCCTGGGGGAGTCTGGACCCCCACCTCTGTGGATTGGAGATTACAAACTGTTTGGCACCAGACCTGAGCCATCTTCCTCTCTTACAGCCCTGGGGAGGGGCAGATGGTTGGTATCATCAGGTTCGTGGGAGCATCCAAGCCCTAGTCAACTTGGGAGAGCCTTTAGCTGTGGCAATTGTGGCCAGAGCTCAAGGCTCATGTGGAGGGGACTGAGTCTTCAAGTGAGGGTTGAACAGTAGGGGCTTTTGTTCCTGCAGTGGCCAGAGAAGAGGCAGATTTTCAGACCAGGCCACTGTGAGCACCTGCAATCCTGACCACACCCCCCCCAGAAAGGGAAGCTAATGAGGCTCATATAGTCTAAGGGGGCTGAGTCCAAGCAGTTAGCATGTATTGAGCACCTGCTGTGTACAAGGTGCCTGGGGGCTCCCAGGGATGTATGCAGTAGAGTCCTGGAACAAAGCCTAGCCCACTACCCATGAGACAGTCCTCAGAGAGCAGTGAGTGACACACAGGCTCCATGCTGAGCTGTCACACGGACCGCAAGTACTTGTCATTCAGAGATGGGAGATGTTGCTGGGTGTTGAAGTAGTTCAGGAAGGCATTCTGGAGGAGGTGGGAATTAAACTTGCTCTTGAAAGATAGGTGAAGTAACTCTGTATGGTTGGTTTTTATTCTTTATTTCTTTTTTTGAGTCGGAGTCTCACTCTGTCGCCGGCTGGAGTGCAGTGGCACGATCACAGCTCACTGCAGCCTTGACCTCAGGGACTCAGGCGATCCTTCTGCCTCAACTTCCCTAGTAGCTGGGACTACAGGTGTGTGCCATCACACTCAGCTACTTTTTAAGCATTTTTTTGTTTGTTTTTATTTTCAATACTTATTTTCTTTTATTTATTTATTTAAATTGTAAAGTTGTGGGGTACAATTCAGGGTTAGGTATATAAACATTGATTATGCAGGTACCCTTGTTGATGAGGTATGCGCCTCCCTCCCCTAGTAGTTTCCCTCAACCGCCAATCCCACCCTCCCTTCCCTGACAGTTTTCCATCACTGCCAAATGCTTTCTTATAGTATTATAATTGTTCAAGGTCCGCATATGAGTGAGAACATATGTACTCTGTTCTTTGTTTCTGTGATAGATCACTGAGTATGATCGACTCCAAATCCATCCAAGTTGCTTCAAAGTTCCTATATTTGTCCTTCTTTGTGACTGCATAATATTCCAGTGTGTATATGTACCACATTTTCTTTATTCAGTCCAGCTTCGATGGGCAACATGGTTGCTAAACATTTTTTGTAAAGGTGAGGTCTTGCTATGTTGTCCTGGCTGGTCTCAAACTCCTGGCCTCAAGCAATCCTCCTGCCTCATCCTTCCACAGTGCTGGGATTACCAGCATGAGCCACCATGCCCAATGTGTATGGTTCTTATATAAAATAGCAAACAATCTGAAGCCGTCTAAACATCCAGCACCAGAAAAGTACTTAAATAATTCTTGTTGTAACTATACATTGTCATTTGTGTAGTCATCAACAGTGGTGCAGAACATTTCATTGTATGTTTGAGTAAAGACTGGCACATTCTTCTCATGTATAACATGAATTGGAAACAAGCCAAGGATCTCACTGAATATATAATAAGGTACTAATTATGTTAAATGTGAGCATACATAGAAAAGAGAATGGTTCGTGACCCGCCTGGGCAGGCGAGACCTCATCTCTACAATAAATCAAAAAATTAGCCAGGCGTGGTAGGGCACGCCTATAATTCCGGCTACTCGGAAGGCTGAGGCGGAAGGATCGCCGGAGCCCAGCAGGTCGAGGCTGCGGTGGCCGGGAGCGGCCACTGCACTCCAGTCTGGGCGACAGAGTGAGACTCCAACTCAAAAAAAAAAAAAAAAAAAAAAGAAAAGCGAATGGAAGGAAATAAAACAAGATGTATATGGGAGTCAGAAAATACTATACTCTGTTGCCCAGGCTGGAGTGCAGTGGCATGCTCACAGCTTACTACAACCTCAACCTCCTGGGTACAAGTGATCCTCCTGCCTCAACCTCCTGCGTAGCTGGGACTATAGGTATGCACCATGCTTGGCTAATTTGTTGATTTTTTTTGTAGAGATGAAGTCTTGCTATGTTGCCCAGGCTGGTCCTGAACTCCTCAACTCAAGCGATCCTTCTACCTCGGCCTCCCAGAGTGCTGGGATTATAGGTGTGAGACACCGGCCCTATTCTGCATTTTCAAAATGTTCCATAATGAATGTATGACTTTAAAAATTTTTTTATTTTAAAGATGTGGGGTACAATTCAGGGTTACACTTTAGGTATACAAATGGTTGTTGTACAGGTAAAGTTTGGGACTCACTTAGGTCCCCACTTCACCTGGTTTGAGATTAGGTAACCTTATTGATGTTATGTGCCACCTTCCCTCCCTTGGCAGTGTCCTGCTACTGCCAATCCCTTTTTTATAGTATTAGGGTAAATGTTCAGGGCCCACTTATGAGTGAGAACATATGGTACTCAGTTCTTTGTTTCTGTGATGGATCACTCATTATTGTAGACTCTAAGTCCCTCCAAGTTGCTGCAGAGTCCATAATTTTGTCCTTCTTTATGGCTGTGTAATATTCCATCATGTATGTGTACCACATTTTTTTTAGTATGACTCTTTTTTTTGTTGAGTTGGAGTCTCACTGTTGCCCAGGCTGGAGTACAGTAGCATGCTCATGGCCACCGCAGCCTTAACCTGCTGGGCTCAGGCAATCCTACCTCAACCTTCCAAGTAACTGGAACTACAGGCATGTGCCATCACGCCTGGCTAATTTTTCTTGATTTATTGTAGAGATGAGGTCTCATCAAGTTGCCCAGGTTGGTCTCGAACCCATGGGCTCAGATAATCCTCTCACCTCAGGCTCCCAAGTGCTGGGATTATAGGCGTGAGCCACCACACCCGGCCTTAGTATGACTCTTAAAATTAGAGAATAGATTTTAGGGAAGAACCACCTGCCACTATAGCAGGTGGAAATAAAACACACATCCCAATGGAAGACAGGAGTTCAGGGGCAACTCCTTCTTGAAGCCCATTCCCTGGGGAGAGGCACAGGCTTCCCTGCTTCTCCCTCCTGCTGGACTCTTTTTCTGCCTCCTTGTGTGGAGAGGCCCGTGGGAGGCTGTCCTGAGCCGCAGGCATATTGCTGTGGGGAGCCAGACCCCCAGCAGAGTCTGGGCTGAAGCGCTCAGTTACAAGCTGGCTCTCACCATACTCCGGTGGGTGACCCCGCTCAGTGCTGCTCTCACTGCTCCAGCACTCCTGGGCACCTCTGGCCAGAGCCGGGAGCCAGGCTTGCTCCTCCTGTAACCTGAGCCTGGAACCCAGCCCTTCTATCCCCCTTCTGGCTCCTCCATCCCCGAAAAATGGGCTCCTTTCCGTCTGACCTCTGGTAGGCCCTCGGTGTGAGTTGAAGCCTCGTTCCTCCCAGCCCTCCCCCCTTCACAACAGAAGATGTTCTGGACTCCTCTAACAAGTTTGCTGAGTTGCAGATTCAGCACAGTGCTCAGCCTCCCTCTCCGGAG